TAATTTTATATTAATTTGAAATTTTAATTTTCTTTTTAAATGATCTAAAAATTATCTTTCCTATACCATTTTAGTCTATCTATTGAGCCACCATTACCTTTTGTTAACGAAATGGAATGCTATGTCATTTTTCAACTTTTAAACTTTAAAAAATGTTTTAATTAAATCCTTAAATTAGGTAGTGGAAAATCAAATACACTTATATATCAATTAATTATTAAGATTTTATTTATCTTATTATAATTTACTTTCTCTCGTCTCATAATAATAGTTTTTTTAATTTTAGAATTAAATATTTGAGAATAATTTATATTTTTACTAATATTACCTTTTTTAAAATAAAGAAAGACTTTTTATAATAAGACTGATAATTAAAATTAAAGACTAATGATAAAATTAAAGTAGAAAAAGTATTTATTTATTTTTTTAAAAAAAAAATTAATTTGAAACAAATTTTAAATGAAAAAAAAATATTATTCTAGGACCTTATGGAGCATGTAGTAGGCAATTCACTAGTGCTGTGACAAAAAATGGCATTTATTAGCATTAAATTATAAAAAAAATACTAAAAATTAATTATTTGTTGGTAAATAATTAGATTAGAACTTTTATTGAAAAATTAGATCAAAACTAATTAAGAAGACAAATTAATAAGATGTCACACCTAAGAAGGAAAAGGGAAGAAAACGAAGGCAAAATATTTTTATTATTTTATTATTATATCTCTTTATTATCACTATTTTTTTTTTTGCCATTGCAACATGCTGACATGTATAATTAGGTATATAAGGGTAAATTTGTCATTTTACTGTACTTGGTTTCCTCTACCTAATTCAAGGACTTAATTAAAACATTTTTCAAACCTTGGAAGTTAAAGGACAATTTTTCCTTTTGGTTTTCGCCACGTTATGCCAGTTTGGTTTACCTGCGCGTGTCTTTTGACATGCCGTTCTGTTAACAAAAAGTAACTGTTGCATAATGGATAGACGAAAATGGTATAAAAATGATAATTTCTAAATCATTTATGAAGCAAATTAAGTTTTTAAAGTAAAATAAAATGGTAATTTTTT